TGTTCGCAGCACACACGTGACGTTTTACCGTGAATGCTAGAGTGAGAGCAATAATTCTAATGCTAGACCTCCCCTGTAACTCTAAACAGGTAACCTGTAAAAAGGTTTAAAGCATTGCCTATGGAGATTTTTCAGTATCGAAGTTTGCCGCCATTCCAAGAACGTGTGCAATTATAAAGCGTGACATGTCTATTTACTCACTGTATTATCATCTTTCATATTGGGGTATATATTGTGGGGTTTTTTTATTTATTATTTATTAAAATGTATTTTTTCCAAAAGAATTGTGAAACAAACGCTGTGCAAATACAATGTGACATAAGAAATTGCAATGATCGCCATTTCATTCTCTAGAGCAGGGGTCCTCAAACTATGGCCCGCGGGCTACATGCGGCCTGCCAAGGCCATTTATCCGGCCCGAGGAAGGGACACTAAGTACAGGGGGCTGCTGTACCTTACCTGGCTATAGTACGATAGGTAGTTATTAAGAGGTTGTTAATTAAGTTATTGTGTCACCCAATGTTTGGTTTCCATTCAGTAGCCAAAAAAGACATTCAAAAAAGGGGGGTTGGTGAAAGAGATTCACAGAAAAGCGGCTACATTATGAACAGACCGTGACACTCAGAAAATTTTCCAAAAATTATGCTTTATTACACAGATATAAATATGACATATGGGCATTCGCCCTGGTTTACCATCACCTCAGTATGAGGACAATAACACACAGACCTAAAACCATATAAAATCAGTGACATCAAGACCCCATAAATGTATGTGCAACAGAAAAAAGTGTCACTGATACTAAGAGTCTAATATCTCTGCAGCACAAACACATAGGTAAACACTTCCTAAAGAGGTGTATCCAAAAATTATACCATAGGTATACCATAATATTGAATAATGAATTTACACCAATATCATAATGGTGAATCCCGAACAGGGAATCCAAAAATTATACTATGGATATACGTATAAACATGTATGAAATGCAATAAGCACAATAAGGGACCTCTACTGACCCGAGTTTCCAAATGGTTAGTCCGCCCCTGTTTATGCTATGTTAATGGGAACACGAACCAAATATAAAAATAAGGTTTTCTCCCAATCTGGCTGCAGAAGTGGAAATACACTGTTTGTTATGTTTGAATAGTGAATGCATTTTGGTTGCTAATGCTGCATTGTTGAAACATAATAAATAGACAGCAATAACAGAGGCTCTACCCTTACCCCATTGTATTAAAAACTAGAAAAATGGTTTTGGCTATAGTTCTACTTTAACCACTTAAAACCTTCATTTTGTAAAGCGCTGCACAAACTATTGGCACTGTATAAATCCTGTATCATAATAAAAATAGATATAGTGGAATATCAGGTAAAAAAGAAAAGAAAGGTGAACAAGCAGGAATTTGAATGCAGAAGAGACATGCTTTGTATCTTCTGCATTAAAGTTACTTACCTGCCTGTCCGCCCCTGTACTATGAGCCTTAGATTGTAAGCTCCCAGGATCAGGCCCTCCTATCCCTCTTGCATTGAACTGTATTGTTGCTGTATTGTCTCCCTTTATATTGTAAAGCGCTGAGCAAACTGTTGGCGCTATATAAATCCTGTATAATAATAATAAGCCGTACATGCGCAGCTCACTGTACAAATTCGGCAATGCCGAATCTGAGTGAACTCCCACGCATGTGCGGGAACGACATCACCCCTGCCCAGCCGATGACAGCGGCCAGTGACTGAGACCTGGTGGCCACCCGAAGATGTCAGCAGACGAGTGGGGAGTAGTGGTGAGTATAGTTCTGCTTTAAGCTCCGGTAGGTTTTACCCACTTCATGACCAGGGCATTTTTTGCTATTCAGCACTGTACTACCTTAACTGCGCAGTCACACAACACTGTCTGCAAATGAAATTTATAAAAAATTTTTTCACACAAGTAGAGCTTTCTTTTGGTGGTATTTTATTACCACTGGGTTTTTAATTTTTTTTATTATATAAATAAAAAAGATCGAAAATTCAGAAAAAAAAACTCTATTCTCTGCCATAAAAAAAATCCAATCAAAAAAATTGAATTTCTTCATAAATTTAGGCAAAAGTGTATTCCACTACATCTTCAGTAAAACAAAAAATCACAATAAGTGTATATGAATTGGTTTGAGTGAAAGTTATAGTGTCTACAAACTATGGTATATAGACTGGAATTTACACAGCTATGACGCTATACTGGTAATGGTGGTGATCAGGGACTTATAGTGGGACTGTGATAGTGTGACAGGCAATCTGGCGCTTGCTGACAGTGGCTTGGAGGTACACTAACTGACACTGACATCAATAGTGACACTAATACAGTGATCAATACTAATACTGTACACTGCCATTGTACGAATGACACTGGCTGGGAAGGGGTTAGCATCTAAGGGCAATCAAAGGGTTAACTGTGTGCCCAACAATCTGTAATGTGTTTAATGTGTACACTGGTTTTACTAATCGATGTGGCTGTTTTTTTTTTACCTGCTCTGCAGGGAGAAAAACAGCCACATTGCTGCTCTGTGTAAAGAGTCCTGTGTTGTTAGTAAACACAGAGCTCTGTGCTGTGATTAAAGTGGAGTTCCACTCACGCTGTCAAAAAATAAAAGTCAGCAGCTACAAAAACTGTAGCTGCTAACTTTTAAAAAAACAGCCAGTTACCTGTCCCTCTGTCCAATGGTGTGTCCCCTGCAGCCCGTTTCACCAGCCGTCCTGGATTCCAGGAGGCCGGAATCTTCCGTGTGGGCACCCAGCTGTGACAGCTTGCGGCTTCACAGCCGGGTACCCACTGCGCATGTGCGAGTAGCGCTGCGCTTCATGAATGGTCACGTAGTCTTCTGGGACCTGTCATGTGTCCCAAAAGACTACAGGAAGGGAGGACACCTTCTGTTTCCGATCCCCTAGGCGATCGGATCGGAAATTGGAGCTAGTACCTGTCAAATTTGGGTACCCGCTCCCCCGCGCCCCCCAAAGGTGCCAATCCGTAATGGGGAGCGGGGAAGCAGTCCTTAAAGCGGAACTTCCCCTTTTGGGTGGAGCTCCGTTTTAACTAAGCCAGCCGGAACCTGCTGACCGACTTGTGCTATACCGATCACATGCGCTATACCCAGAAATATTGTGTCATGTATATGTACGTGGGAACTGCCCACCAGCAGTATATATACAGTGGGTGGTCGAAATATGTAGTTTTTTTATTGTAGTCCTGTAATTTTTAGGAATAACTCACTGAAATCTGTCCAAACAAGAGTCTAGTAAAACATCCCGGGTATGATAAAACTTGAAACACGAAATCATAAATTATAATTTAATAAATAATCATAAAAAATAATAATATAATAATAATAAATTTAATTCAATAATATAATCAAACCAAAAACACTGAAATTTGAAATATAGCGCCAAGTTCGCACATCACTGAGCAAAGTCGCAGAATCGTTTTTCAGTGTCTGATGACGAATTTCCCCCACGAATCATTATCACTCAATTCTGCAAGTGGTTCTGATTTACTATCGCTGTTCTCTAGCCGGTCTAAAACCGCTTTTGACCTAAAGGGACGCTTTTTGGACGCCATGGACATTTCTCAGTTTCCAGGCAGAAAGAACAGTAAAAATGCAGGCAGGGCACAGGACAAAGCACTCGGGACAAAATGTATGTGAAATGTTTTGAAACGGCAATGTTTTGCTATGTAATATTTGTTTACAAAAAAATGACAGTTTTTAAATTTGCCGCCGGTTCCGGCGCCCGTACGTCCCAATGTCACAGGGACCAGAAACACGGAAGCCGGATACCGGCATCGGCCGGAGGAGATGTCCGGGGACGCTGCAGGAGGGACATCGCAGGAACGAAGGACAAGGTAAGCGCTGCAGAGAATCCCTGAGCAACGCCGCATGGTGAGCTTGAGTGTAGCTCGGGGTTACCGCTTTTAGTACTGAACTTTACCCCGAGCTACACTCGGGAATACCGCCAGGGAGGTTAAGTGGTTTAAGGTAAATAAGTTTTGCCAAGTGTTGGCTACATTGGCAGTTACAGCCATGTCAGTCATGTAGCCATCAAAACATGCACAAAATAAGTGGAGTTTGCAGTAAAGTTGGCTGGTCTGGGGGTTTGTTCACATCAGTTGCAGTGCCAAAACACAAGCAAGAGTATGCGTTTCCCCGCACCGCACAGAAAAGCTTTTACAGACAGGCATGATTGCTATTATTTCTTAATACTACCCCCCCACACTTCGAGCAAACATAGGTGCACACACGTGGCCTCCAAAATGCATAGTACCACAGGACCATGTGGTTTGGTGTGGCACAATTCTATAAATCGTGTCTGCACTACTTTTTGTTTGCTTCCATGCATTGGGCAGACCACTGAAATTAACCACTTGCCTACCAGGCACTTATACCCCCTATTTACCAGGCCAATTTTCAGCTTTCAGCGCTGCCGCACTTTGATTGACAATTGCGCGCGGTCATGCAACATTGTACCCATATGAAATTTTGATCATTTTTTTCTCACAAATAGAGCTTTCTTTTGGTGGTATTTAATCACCACTGGGCGCTTTACTTTTTGCGCTATAAATAAAAAATTGCCAAAAATTTGAAAAAAAAAAAAAAAGTTTCTTTGTTTCTATTATAAAATTTTTCAAACAGGTAATTTTTCCTCCTTCACTGATGTGCGTTGATGAGGCAGCAACTGAGGTGGCACTGATGGACACTGATAGGCAGCACTAAAGGGCACTGATAGGCAGTACTAATGAGGTGGCACGGATAGGCGGCACTGATAGACAGCACTAAATGAGGTGTCACAGATAGGCGGCACTAATATGCAGCACTGATAGGCGGCACTGATAGGTGACACTAGTGATGGGTACTGATAGACGGCACTGACTGGCATCACTGCTGGGCACTGACTGGCGGCACTGACTAGCACAACCGCTGGGCACTGACTGGCAGCACTGCTGGGCTGCACTGGTGGGTGGCACTGGTGGGTGGGCACAGGTGGGTGGCACTGGTGGGCACAGGTGGGTGGGCACAGGTGGGTGGCACTGCTGGGCACAGGTAGGTGGCACTTCTGGGCACAGGTGTGTGAAATTGCAGAGTGGCACAGGTGGGTGCACTGCTGGGCACAGGTGGGCGGGGCAGCTAGTGGGCGCACTGCAGGGCACAGGTGGGCGGAACTTGCGGGTGGCACTGCTGGGCACCGATCATCAGGGCACTGATCATCAGTGCCTTGATGATCGGTGCCGATCCTCGCTCTGACAACTGCCGGTTCTCGGCAGTAATTTCCTCACGATCTGACAGCGTGAGGAAAGTGCAGCCGAGAACCGGCACTTGCATTTCCCTCTGATCAGCGTGTCATTGGACACCGCTGATCAGGTGGTAAAAGGCTGCTGTGATTGGCCTTTTACCACATCACGTGATCAGCTGTGTCCGTAGGACACAGCGATCACGGAGATCGCCGGGTGCGCGCCCCCCTGGGGCGCGCAGTAGAGCGCGTTCTGGGGGGACGTCATATGACGTCCACTCAGAACTGGCCGGCCGCAGTGCAGCCGTCATTCGGCTATCTGCGGTCGGCAACAAGTTAAAGGACTGTCCAAAACGCATTGTGCGTGAATACAAAAAAAAAAAAAACACATGCTCCTGGAAGCACTTTATGGTGTGATTGAGCCCTAAAGCTATACTTTCATTTGACATCTTTTTCATTTTAAGAATATTTGTTCGATTTTCTAATCATTAGTGTGGACAAACAGATGTTTGTTTTCGACCACGGTGATGAGAAAGTTTGAAGAAGCAGGATGGAATATGAGAAAGTCCATTCATTCCAAAATTGAATATTAAAAGCCAAAGCCTTTTTGAAATATTTTCAAGTTATTAAATGTACTGAGAATTCCTAAGTGGTTAGCACTTCCGCCTGGCAGCACTAGGGTGGTTGGTTTGAATCCCAACCATGGCACTACCTGCCTGGAGCCTGCATGTTCTCCCTGTGCCTGCGTGGGTTTCCTCCCACACTCCAAAAGACATACTGGAAGGGTGATTGCCTCCTCCTAAACTGGCCCTAATATGTGTATGTATGAATGTTAGTTAGCGAGTAAGCTCCTTGAGGGTTAGGGACTGATGTAAATGTACAATATATGTAAAGTGCTGCGTACATTGACAATGCTATATACACTCACCAGCCACTTTATTAGGTACAACTTGCTAGTGCCAAGAAAATCTCCCCCACACCATTACACCACCACCAGCCTGAACTGTTGATACAAGGCAGGATGGATCCATGCTTTCATGCTGTTTATGCCAAATTCTGACCCTGTCATCAAAATTTTGCAGCTGAAATCAAGACTCCTCAGACCAGGCAATATTTTTCTAATCTTCTATTGTCCAATTTTGGTGAGCTTGTGCGAATTGTAGCTTCCGTTTCCTGTTCTTAGCTGACAGGAGTGGCACCCGGTGTGGTCTTCTGCTGCTGTAGCCCATCTGCTTTAAGGTTCAACGTGTTGTGCGTTCAGAGATGGCATTCTGCATACCTTGATTGTAACGAGTGGTTATTTGAGTTATTATTGCCTTTATTCTCATTATTATTATTATTGTTATTAATATAATACAGGATTTATATAGCCCCAACAGTTTGCACAGCGCTTTACGAAATGAAGGCAGACGTTGCTGGTAGGTTAATTGGCTCCTGTCTAAATTGTCCCTAGTATGTGTATGTATGAATGTGAGTTAGGGACCTTAGATTGTACGCCCCTTGAGGTTAGAGACTGAAGTGAATGTACAATATGTAAAGCGCTGTGTAAATTGACAGCACGATATATTATTATTCTTATTATATCTCTCCAAAACCGAGTTTCTTGTCTTCCCCCCCAGCCCGGACACCACCCACCATTGACTTTCCATCATGTCCAACAACGCCACCTTCAAACCCGCCCCGCAGGCCAGAGTACTTGGTGTCATTCTGGACTCCAACCTATCCTTCCAGCCCCAAGTCCAATCTTTAACAAACTCATGCAGACTCCACCTCCGCAACATCGCCAAAATCCGCACGTTCCTAACCCCAGAAACCACTAAACAGCTCATCCACTCCCTCATCATATCACGACTCGACTACTGCAACTCCCTCCTCACTGGCCTGCCTCACCGCTGGCTATCCCCGCTTCAGTCGATCCTGAATACGGCTGCCAGACTCATTCACCGCTCCGTTTCCGCCACCCCCCCTCTGCCAATCCCTCCACTGGCTTCCGATTGCGCAACGGATCAAATTCAAAATCCTAATACTGACCTACAAAGCTGTACACCATACTGCGCCGAACTACATCACTGACCTAATATCCAAGTACCGCCCAGCACGCACACTCCGCTCCTCACAAGACCTCCTTCTCTCTAGTTCCCTGGTCTCCTCCTCCCATGCCCGCCTCCAGGACTTCTCCAGGGTGTCACCCATCCTCTGGAACTCCCTGCCCCAACCCATCATATTATCACCTACTCTCCTCTCCTTTGGGCGCACCCTGAAAACCCATCTCTTCAGGGAAGCCTACCCCACCCCCTGCTAACTTGCCGACCTCCTCCACTCTTCCTACCACTCCATCCCCCACAGCTATCTCCTCCTGTACCACCATCCCCTCCCTCCTAGATTGTAAGCTCCCAAGAGCAGGGCCCTCGATCCCCTCATGTTTTGCATTGTATTGGTATTGTTCTGTCACATGTTCTGTCCCCCTTTGTAATGTACAGCGCTGAGCGAACTATTGGCGCTTTATAAATACTGTATAATAATAATAATAATTATTCTTCAGGATTTATATCGCACCAACAGTTTGCGCATCGCTTTACAAAATGAAGGCAGACGTTACAGGTATAATACAATTCGGTACAAGAGAAAACAGAGGGCCCGGCTTGTTAGAGTTTACAATCTAAGAGGAAGGGTCAAGTGGTACAAAAGGTAATAGCTGTGGGGGGGGGAGCTGCTGGATAAAGTGAAAACACAGTGCATTAGTTAGAAGCAGGATAGACTTCTTTAACCCCCCTGGCGGTATTCCCGAGTGTAGCTCGGGGTAAAGTTTCAGCACCACAAGCGGTAACCCCCGAGCTACACTCGGGCTTACCATGCAGCGCTGCTCCGGGATCTCTTCTTCACTTACCTTGTCCTGCGCGCCCGCGATGTCCCTTCTGCAGTGTCCCTGGCAATGTCCTCCGGGCCGATGCCGGCATCCGTCTTCTGGGTTCCGTTCCCTGCGATGTCGGGACGTACGGGGAAGGAACAAGCAGGAAATTTGAAAATGACAAAAAGTGACATTCACTAAATACACTAAAATCACATAGTAAAACATTCCTGTATCAAACCATTTCACATACATTTTGTCCCGAGTGCTTTGTCCTGCGCCCTGCCTGCATTTTTACTGTTCTTTCTGCCTGGAAACTGAGAAACGTCCATGGCGTCCAAAAAGCGTCTCTTTAGGTCAAAAGCGGTTTTAGATCAGCTAGAGAACAGCGATAGTAAATCAGAACCACTTGCAGAATTGAGTGATAATGATTCGTGGGGAAATTCGTCATCAGACACTGAAAACGATTCTGTGACTTTGCTCAGTGATGTGCGAACTTGGCGCTATATTTCAAATTTCAGTGTTTTTGGTTTGATTATATTATTGAATTAAATTTATCATTTTTATATTATTATTTTTTATGATTATTTATTAAATTATAATTTATGATTTCGTGTTTCAAATTTTAACATACCCGGGATGTTTGCTAGACTCTTGTTCGGACAGATTTCGTGAATTATTCCTAGAAATTACAGGCCTACAATAAAAAAATACATATTTCTATGCAAAAAAATGTACCGCTTTGAGCACAGAAATATGGACATAATCAGACCGCTAGGGAGGTTAAAGAGAAGAGGAATCAGGGATCATCTAAAGGTGGATAGATTAGGAGATAGTCAGACAGATTGGGGTAGGGAGTTCATCTCAAACCAGTCTGCTCATTCTCCTCTGACCTCTGACATCAACAAGGCATTTTCATCCACAGGGGCGGACTGACAACTCATGGGGCCCCCGGGCAATAGGGGATCATGGGGCCCCTGTGTCCTTGCCCAAACTCAAAAAAGCCTATGAAAAAGGTACCAGAGGCATCTCATGGGGCCCCCTACTGACCCCGGGCCCTCGGGCGGTGCCCGAGTTTCCAAATGGTCAGTCCGCCCCTGTTCGTCCACACAACTGCCATTCATTGGATATTTTCTCTTTTTTGGACCATTCTCTGTAAACCTTAGAGATGGTTGTGTGTGAAAATCCCAGTAGATCAGCAATTTTTGAAATACTCAGACCAGCTTGTCTGGCAACAACAACCATGCCATGGTCAAAATTGCTTAAATCCCCTTTCTTCCCCATTCTGATGCTCGGTTAGAACTTCAGCAAGTCATCTTTATCACATCTACATGCCTAAATGCATTGAGTTTCTGCCATGTGATTGGCTGATTGGCAATTTGTGTTACCAAGTAATTGAACAGGTGTACCTAACAAACTGATGGTGAGTGTAAGTACCTGTAATAAATAAATTTCCGTATGGATGTTCGTATGGACGCTTGTTCAAAAATCTACTAGTACAGTATATGTCCAGCATAAGGTTTTCTGTGTTGTCCTTACACACTATCAGGCATGTGAAGATCACAGGAAATCTTTTGAACTGCACAAATCATTTATTCCACCACAAGCCATCCCTCTGTGCCTTGCAGCTGGATGGAAGTCTTGTTTTTATATTTCCACCATCTTCCTCTCTTCCAATGTGTTATTTAGTGAAAACTGCAGGAAACACATCTTTTCATTCATACGGGAACAATCTCAACAAAAGCCTCTTTTCCTCTGTATTCGGAGATTCTCTGTAATGAACACAAACACTGTCTGTCCGGGACATCCACTTGTTTTTCCATGCTGGTAAGATTGTCTAGACATTGCACTGGAAGGCTGTGCTGAAATAAATATCATTGTTAGATTTGTACTTTATAATAATTCTACAAAGAGAATATAAGTGGATATAAACATTTATAAACATACCATAACGAATCAGCAACGATCAGATAGGAATCATTAGTGCCAGGCAGGAAATGTGCACTTAAAGTTGGGGGCAATGTGCAGCTTTTTCCTACACGATAAAACAATGGAATGACACATCTGTTTAGAAGAATAATTAAAGACAAACAATAGAAGACCCATAGACAGCCAAAAGGACATCACGTGAGATTTACTGGAAAAGGTTTTTAATAGCCCAAAAAAATTGAAGGGCATCAGGGGTCATGGAAACCAAAATAAATTCCAACAAATTAATTTTGTATGGTGGATCCTCTAAATTGA